GAAAAAACAAAAAGAAAAAGATAAAACCAAAAAGAAGAAAGCTGAAGGGCTGTAGACGCCACCGATACACCCAAAGCATTCGTTTCTCCCCGTATGAGGGTTTAGGGTTTAGGGTTTAGAATTTAGGGTTTAGGGTTTAGGGCTGGTGAGTCGCAAGAGCAGCGAATAGCCATCCAGAAAGAGATGCAGCAGGAGCAGCAGAAGCAACAGCAGCAGCAGAAGCAGCAGCAAAAGCAGCAGCAAAAGCAGCAGCAAAAGCAGCAGCAGCAGCAGCAGCAGCAGAAGCAGCAGTGAGGTCGGTTGTAGCTGCAGCAACACAACCCAATACTGCAGCAGCAACAGCTGCGCATAGGATGCCTGGGGGCTGGGGGGAGACTAAACCCTAAACCCTAAACCCTAAACCCTAGACTTGAATATGAAGTGTTTAGCTGCGCATACACCCTGCGGTGTATAGGCAGTGTTTGTGTAAATTTTTTTGCGAACGAAAACATTTTATTTGTTTAAATAAATTATTAAATTTAAATTAAATTATAAATTTATTTTATAAATTAATAAATTGGGTTTTTATTATAAAGTTATTATACACTGCAGCAGAAGGATACACGAGCATGAGTGAGCACGCGCCGCTGCGTGGAGCTCAGCATACACCCGAAATTTCTCTTTTTTTTAATTTAATTTTTTAAAATTTTAATTATTTATAATTATTATTTTATTATTTTTGAATAATTAAGAAAAAAAAAATAAAAAAAAAACACTCTGCTTCTCAGTTTACTGTGGGGCGCGCAGAGCCGCTGCGCGGTGGCGGGCTGGGGTGTATGGGGGTGAATTCGTGTGTAATTTTTGGATAAAATAAAAAAAATAAAATAAAAATAAATAAAATAAATAAAATAAAATAAAATAAATCAAAAAAAAATAATTTATTTTAAATTATTACGCACAAACAGAAGAGGTTTCTCTGCCGGCGCTCGTTGTGTTCTTCCTGGGGCCCCCCATCAACTTTTTGTTTTTGTTTCGTCTTCTGCTGTATACAAATAAAAATAAAATAAAATAATATTTATATTTTAATTTTTATTTATTAAAACAACAATAACAAAACTATACTCACAAGAAGCTCAACATACACCCCAAACTCGCGGGGCTTTCTGCTAGGGTTTAGGGTTTAGGGTTTAGGGTTTAGGGTTTAGGGTTTAGGGTTTA